AGGTGAGAATTTCTACTTTGAAGATGTGTTGAATTTTGAATAGTCTTTGTCTACTCTGAAGGTGAAAATCCATTATATATGTATTTTGTTAAGCAATAGATATTAACCATTCACTGAACACATCTTTTGCCCCTATATTGAGAAATGGATTAGCACAGAAATTAGAAAAGTTGTTCTACTATACAGGTTCTGCAGAAAAATTCCCTCTGTGATCAGGTAGTAATGAATTTTGCCACTCATGTACTTCTGAGAAGTATCTACACAAAAGCCTGTTTTGTATTACAACAGCATAATTATCTGAACCACAACAACACATTTCATGCCTCATGCAAAGCAGCCTATAGCAGTCTTCATATTTGCAGGTGGTCCATAGGAATGAAGTTGTTTCTTTTCAAAAACAAAAAAGTGTTTTAAATTGAATAATAATAATCACAAAATCTCATTTTTAATTCATTCCAAAAAAACAAACACTTTTAAGGAGTAAAAATTTTTACCCCTACCTACTAAGCCCTCTGTGACTGCTCATCAGTTTCTTGTTCATGTAAATTGGTTTATGATGATGTCCCTCAAACTATTTTCAAACAAAGTAAATGACAGAAATAAATATTGGCAAGAAAGTGACATGGACACATCTTACCACTATAGGCAAATATTTTGATTCTTGAGTTGCTAAGGATGGCTCTGTCATGCTTAAACTGCTTATTAAATTAGCACTGAAGATGCTTAATTTAAAAACTCCTCTAGCTGGAAGGAGTTATCTGTGAGAAATCAAAAGAGGTCAGTTAAATTAAAAAGTGTGTAAATCTGTCTTTCATCCTAACAAACTATATAAAAAATGATAATTTTGAATGAGAGTCATTATGTGCTCCACCACAGAAATGAAGATGACTCTGTTCATAAAAAATGAAATGAAGAGGGGAAGGCAATTGTAGACAAGCTATTGAAAGTGAATCACTGTTGCTGTTGGTATCCCACAGAAAAGAACTGCTTTGTTTGGATAGTAGTTGTAGTGATGGTGGGAAAAGTAAAACAAAGGTATAATCAAAGACCACACTTGGACAGGATAGTCTGGACAGCTGAATGCCAACAGACAGATCTGGATAAAACAGATTAATTCTACCAGGAGTAGATAGTGGTGAATTTCAAACAGTTGCTCTACATGATGACCTTGCCTGCAGCATTGAGTCTTCACAAAAGGGGTAGAATAAATTTTCAAATTTAAATACCTTAATTTAGGTATCTAAATGTCAGCTGGATCTCTAGTGTGGCTAATGGAAAGTCAGTAAATTCAGGCTATGGAGCCTGAAGAACTATTCAGCTGACCAAATACAATTGTCTGTTTTAAGATGAACTTTCTGGACTGTTCATGTAGCTACACAAGAGTATTTTAACTTGAAGCTAAATCGAATTCCAAATTGTCAAAATTAAGGGAGGAGGTGTAAGTTAGAGGAAAAGAGAAAGTCAAGAGAGGAAGGAAAATAAAAAAAAGAGAGTAAAAGAAATGCTCGTGATTTTTGTAAGGACTCAGAAAACTCTTCAGAGATAATCCAATACAATGACCTGTGCTCTCAATCTGAAGGCACTGGTGTCGAACACTGCACCCCTGGGAAACAGACACTACAAGTTTCCCTGCTGGAGGTGATACTCCTTCACTTCTTCTTAAAGAATGGCAGAAGATAGGTGTCTCCATGCTACCGTCTGTCCTTGAAAGACTCTGTGTACCTGGCCAGCCTCCAGCCTATGAAGTGCACTGTACTGAGTTAGTTGCTATATTCATTTATGAAATATAGCCAGAAAAGCCACCCCACAGCTGGTCCATGCACACTTCTGCATATTTTTAGGGTCACTTCTGAATAAAACAGAGCAGAATTAGATATATGTATATGTAAGTCTGAGTGAGATATTATCAACGTTCAGGTATGTGGTGTTTCCTGCATTCCTGGGAGGAACTCTGTAATCATTTTCCTGGATTATTCGTGTACCAGCTGAGGTGTTCTGCTATAGTTGCTATCTTATGGTTGTCTGGACAGAATTGGATCCTACTCACTTCTTCCTGATGAACAGACCTCCTTACCCAATAAGCCACAATACATGCTTCACTATTACATTTATGGTCTTTCACACTGAAAATTTAATAGTATATTTGGTGTTGGGGTATGCTTACAGGAGAAGAGCCTGAGAGCCACATGAAGTAACCCTAGATTGGACTGCCTGTAGAAGTTCAGATAAGATTTATTCAGGATTTACTGATCTTCTCTAAGCAATGAAATCTTCCCTCCTCTCCTGGTTAAAAGAGCAAGCAGGTGAGGAGAAAAAAGAAAAGAACAATGACAAATTCTCTGCACTGCACATAGTATAGAGGAAGGAGAATCCAGAGATAGAGTTATTTCCTCATTTACAATCAAACTGATTATGACAGTTCAATCTACCTCTCAATTCCCTTTTCCACTTTGGAAGGAAAAGCATAGAGCCTCCTTTCACATCACCAGATGGAAGCAGCAATATAAACATATGAACATTGGCCTTGTGTCAGTTTTGCTCTACCCCCACTGGAAGGAACTGCAAAACTCTCACTGACTTGAGAGGAGCAGACCCAGAACAATAGGTTACAGCATAAACCTTTTCCAACATATTTGCATGGCTGTATAGTCAAAGGTTCTCTTCAATGAGGTTATTAATTTATGTCTTCTCTAATTTAATTAATTCATATAAACACTCTAACAGGATCTCAGTCAATCTCCAAAACCTCTGCCAAAGCCTTTCCTCCTTGGCAGCCACAGCTGAGAGAAGGGTGCTCACTATTAACTTTCCCACGGTCACCCATAGCCACCAATAGTCCTCGCTGTACCAGAGCATGACTTTATCATACAAAGCCATACCAGCCTCAAATGGCATCTAACCTTTAAAGATGCAGTTTCTGCTCTATATTTTCTGTACTTTTTATCTCAGACTTTTTATTTACTTATGCTTGGCCCACCCAAGCCTCATCAAATTAACATAAAATAAAAATTAGATGTGTAAATTTGCCTCGCTTGCCTTTTCTGCTAGTTTGAGTCTAGCAAACTGGTATAATAATATGACAATGTTTTTGAATTTGTGATAGTATTATAAAGTGACACCAGACTCACAGCAAAGGTCCCTATAGTGTGTGAGCTGTAGATGCTACTCAGCCATCTGGGGTGGCAGGAAAGGAACATCTGAAGAAAAAGCAAATCGCATCTTCTGTTTGCAGCCAGCCCACATCAGCCTAGCAATAGCGGGCTGGAAAGCAAATTCTTCTGAACTGCTAAGAAATATGTGATACAAAATCTTTTAAATGAGGATTCAAGCTGGCTCAGCAGGTCTTGCAGCTACACTGCTTCCCCACATCAGGCTCCTTCCTATATCTTCGCTTTTTCTTAGGGACTCATCCTTAAAATATTTTCCATGAAACTAATAGTGGTAGAAAGAATAGTAGACAAAAACTTTCTCCTGGAAAGAACAAGGATAATGTAAGTATGGAGGTAATCTTCCTTATTTAGAAAGAAAAGCTCCATCAAGCACATTTTGATTTAAAAAACAACTGATAACTATCATAAAAATCATTGTAATGTAACCCAATGTGCCTGGACATGAAGAAGGCTGTGAGCAGAATTTGGGAGGCTGGAAACAAAAGCAGGTCTTGTCAGCACTTGTTCTCTGTTGTTTTGAATCCCTAAGGAACAATAATTGGGATTTAGTCTCCTGACAGGTTCAGTGCACATAACAACAAGGACTATTTTTTTTTTCTTTTCCTAAAAAGTGGTAGCTTATCTTTCAAATGCCTGAACTCGGACACTTCTGGTTTGAGTTTGTGAACCTCAGGGGCCCTGCTATCATCTGCAAAGGTAGCAGCTTGATTCATTAGGCTCACATAAAGAGATGACAAGCTGGGGTGAGCTATGTAAAGTTTTATGATGCTTTGTGCAATGATGTAAAAGCAATCAAATGGAGGTCAGAGGAATATATAATGAAAGACTTTGCTGTCTCTTAGGTCCTTAGGAAAACTGCTGAGGATTTCTTGATTTCAGAAGTCATTCTGAAAAAGTAATTTTACTCCAGAACCCTATCAGAAGGCTTTAAAAAAAACCAAAATCCTAACAGCAGCTGTTTTTTGTGGAAAGATATTGGAGTTTGGAAAAATTTATTGCTTAATTATCTATTATGGAACCCTCCCAATATGGTTATAGTGAGAGTCAGCAGATGGCACTGTTACTTATAGTGATAAAACTTCTTTTTACAGCTGTGCAAAGCTTGCTACCACTTTGAATAAATTCTGCGTTGCTGCTCATTTTCTCGTGAAACGTCCTTGGCCAAAAACTAGACACTGGCACCCTGCCTCATGTATCAAACCAAAGAAAGTGCTTGAGACAGATCTGGCCTTAGGGGACTGGACAAGTTCCTGAGAAAAGTACTTGTTTTCATGCTGAGTATCTCTGCTGGAAAATAAGGAGTAAATAAATGAGTAATTTTAAGCAAATAGTCAGACTTTTTGGACAGGGACTTCTCCTCAGCTGGAAATTTGATGCTTTCAAGGATATTGTTGTGTAGGGACATATGGAGTTCATCTTGGAGATTATGAGCACTGATGGAGAGCTAGATGGGCACTATATTACCAAATGTGTACAAAGAAACCTGAGTCATGCAAACCAAGTGAGTGATTCAGTTCCAGTAGAAAATAATAATAATAATTAAAAAAACATGGATATCAAGTCACAAAAAAATAGTTTGAAGGCAGTAGTCGAGGTAAAGCTAAATAATTTTAGAGAACAAAGAGAAAGACTTGGTGTATTGTAATTGTTGAGTCATGGCCTAAACCACTGATTGAGCACCTGGGGAAAGGACCCGGTCAGCCGTGGGAGCACAGGTGAATGCAATTCAGCTGTAGGATTGGAAGGGGTGGGGCTTGGCTGCACCTCCCTTAGACCTCTTTTAAGGGCTGACTGGCATTGTGGTAGTATTTCTTTCTAGAGATTCCTTCTTGGTGCAGCTTTCCTCTGTGAGCCTAGAATCTTCTGATGTGGTTGAGCAATCTTCTTCCCTTTCTTTATAGCACTTTTCTATTGTGGTGGTCCTTTTGTTATCATGTGTTTCTTGTAACGCCTTTTCCATTGTATTGATCTGTCTAATTGCTACATATGGAAACAAGAGGAGACCTACTAGCAGAAAACTTCTGGAAGCATGTGAAAAGCTAATATGCAGCCACATGTGGACAGTTTTGGGGGCAGCAAGACTGGAGAGAAATTAAAAAGGGCTGTGAGAGGTATAGCAGAGGGACATGGAACTATGCCCAGGGTCAACAAGCAAGGGAAGGAAGGGTACTCAGCAGCTGTTATTTATTCACAAAGAAGAAACGCTATCTCTGAAAAAACTGCTGTGGTCCAGTCTGTGTTATTTACTTCACCGATACCATGGGCTGGGAGAAGCAGCACATTACAACTGGTAATTTTCTCGAAAATTTTATCTGTCTTCATTAATGTTGCTTTTTCTGGTAAAGGAGACAAATTCTACTTGTTGATGCTTTGTTGGTGTTTCTGGGTGCTGTTATTAAATTGTGACATCAGTCACTTCAGTCTGCCTTTTAAGACTGTATAGGCACACAGATGTGCGGGCACATTTTTGTCTCAGAATGACTGTTGTTAAAGTGAAAATTATTTTACCCTTTGAGGCCACATACTACAAAAACAAGGTTTATGCTTGGTGAAGAGAAAAGCTGTTTTCTAGTGATTTTCATAAGGATGCTTCCATCTGACTCAAATTCACTTTAGTCCATGCTAATTCATAAAGATTCAGACTGCACTGGAGGCAAATTAAAATTCAGTCAAGGCTGAGATCTGACAGATGCTCTCATCTCCTCACACTTGTGAGCCACAGCTGAGCCAGGTGGAGCAGAGCTGGGGATGGGGAGAGCTAATAGGGCTCCTTCTTCCTTTTTTCATTTAAAAATATCTTTATTGGGCTGTTTTTCTTTCTGTCAGTTGTTGTCAGCATCTCCTCCAGAAGACGTAACGTATAGTCTCTATGCCCTGTGGAATTCTGGAGAGTGCATGCTTTCATCGGAGACTTCACAAAGCATTCACAACAGGGTAAGTTTATTGGCAATTAAAAAACACAGTGCTCTAAAAATAACAGCCTGTTTATAAACTATTGTGTTACCATAGTGGTCACAGTTTTCTCTAGTTTACAAAACACACTGTTGGCTGTTTCTTCTCTTTTTTTAAATAGGTGCTGTTATGGTGGTTGAGTTAGTTAATATCATGCTTTAGGCTCTTGGTTTTCTTAGGTTCTGTAGCTAAATTGTTCAACAGCTATGAAATTTATTAGATCGAAAGGACTAAAAAAAGCCCTTGAAAAATGCAATAGGAGCGTTAGCTGTATTCTCAATCTGCCTGCAAGAAAATAAGTTGCTTTCTTGTCATCTGTCCTAACTCTGCAATGATCAATATTTGCTCTGTCATTGATTAAGTCAGAGATGGACAATGATGGAAACTGGTAACTCAGGCTAGACTGAAATACACAAAAACAGGAATCCAATTACATAGCAAGCTTCTATTAATATTTATGGGTTTAGTATCCCCTGAACTAATATATATATTTTACACTCACTTCCTTGTAATGCTTTGTTTAATGTCTAGCTGAGTTAATGAGAGAAGACTATGTCCACAGTATTAAAGAGAGGGATCTGGTTGTGAGAGAGGGATCTGAAGATTACTAAATTATGTGAGGAGCATTGCTGTGTAACATGCTGAACATATGTTCAGTAAGAGCTGCAAGGTTGAAGACCTGCAAAAATATTTGAAAACAAGTCACTTGCATGGCTTCCTTCATGTGCCTTTAGGCTATTATGTATTTAAATACTCAACATCTCTATCTTCTCTTTCAATGAACAAAGAGATACAGAATTCCTTTTAAATATCTTATTCAGTCGAAGTCTATTTGGGAGTTTGTATTTCTACCTAATTTTAGAAGTACAATATTCCTGTTGAAATAAATTCAGTCTGTCTTGTGTGTTTAAAAAAAAAAAAAAAAAAAAAAAAGAGAGAGAGAGACCACAATTCCTCATGGGAAGGAAGGAGGGTGGAAAAAAAAAAAAAAACCCACAAACTTACATGGTAAAGTTCTATTTTACATCATGATATTTCTGGGTTAATTTGAATGAGAATTGCAAGGTAATAGTGCTTACATATTTCAGTGTCTTTTGGAAAATGTTTAAGGGAAGTGTTGAGGGGAAGTGTGACCTTAATGTGTGCTAGCTATTTGCTACCTTCTGGAGTACTGTGAATTTGGAAACATCTTAATTTGTACCACTCTTCTTGCTATTCTTGGTTTTCCAACTGGTTTCTTTTATTGCCTGTTGAGTTGGATGCTACCAACAAAACCTTCAACCAGTTACTTAGTCTTTCATAATAGCTGTCAGTTTATGGAGTGGAGAATGAATATCTGAATGTGAAACCAAGTGAATGGTTGCATTACTTCAGTTAAAAATGTGTAATTTTCCTTCAACTGATTTCTGGACCATTACTTAATGGGCATAAGGAATTTGGACAAGTTATTGGATACACTTGGATTCTTCCAGATGTCTCTGGAATAGCGTGAATAGTTCATGGTTAAAGCTAGCTTCCGGTTTAAAAGTGAGTCTTTAATTCATCTTGCCTCTTCTTCCTTCTTTATATTTAAATAGGGGAAAAGACAGCATCTGTAAGAATGACTGTACAAGAACTCAACACAGAGCTTCTGAATGTAGGAGGTAACAAATGAGAATTTATTTTCTCAGCTGCAGAGGCTATCTCTATGCTGAGCGGTGCTTGCTTAAACATAGGCAAGGAAGGTCTTGAACAGGGCCCATGCTTTTGAATTAGATTTTGCTGTTCTCTTCCTATGTCTCTAGTAAGAAGTGTTGCCTACAGCCAAGACTATTGTCTCAGTGGAGCAGGCCTTTCTGGTCCTGGGACACAGCAAAGCTGTGGGACATTTCTGCTTGTGTGAGGTGTGAAGGCCCAGGCCTATGGCATGTATAAGAAGCATAACAAGTTCAGAGGTCTTCAGAGGTAACTTTCATTAAGCCTCTGCTTAAACACTGGTAGTCCATTTATAGGCTTAATGTGGAATTTGTCTTATTCTGTTAACATCTCTGGTATGAACTTAAAAGAAAAGTATTATTTGGAACCAGGTTAAGTAGAGGATTATGTCCTCTAAAGGATTGCTCAGGGAGAGCCTTCCTGAGGACTGTTGGTAAGAGCCTTTCCAAGATCTCTCATAGAAGTATTCCTATTTTGTGATTTTTTTTTTCAGACTCTTTCCCAGGGATACTGGTTCACAGATGCTCTCTTTCAGCCAGCCTTGTATCATCAGATTTTTTGCAAACCTGAGCCTAAGGACATGTGATCCTGAATCACTTCCACTGAAATGCCCTAGGATTGTTTTGAGACAAAAGCTTGGCTCATGGTGGCTTTTCTCAGAAAAGCAAGCAGAGGGGAGCTGTCATGAGCCATGTTTTACTGCAGTGCTTTGTTGGTCTGTCTGTCTGTATAATTTCAAAATTGCTGATTCATCTCCAGGCTTTGAAACTAGTGACTCCAAACATGGCCCTTTTCTAACTTTGGGAACATTTTTTCATGGTATGTAGATAAATGACATGTTAATGTAAATTGTCAGGCTCAGCCTAGAGTTAATCTGTTTTGCTGTATGGAAGGCAAAACAAGAAAATTCCTTCAAGGCTGTTCCTCAGATTTAGCTCCAGTTGCATTCTCTCTGTTCCTGCCAAAATGTGAGCAATGGTCAGAAAAAATTGTTCTTCAGCATGGGGGAGTCAAACAGCTAATGAGCAAAACCAAGCCCATCCCTCTGCGATCTAAACCAATGCACAAAGATGGCTCTGAGAGAGCGCTCTGCAAGCTCCTTCCTGTTTGCTATAGGTTGCACAGTTGGATACCCTAATTGAGAAAGGCTAGATGCATCACTAGTGAAAAAAGTCTCTCATCACTGGGATTTGCATACGGTAGCATGACATTGTGCAGCCACGCAAGAAATTGTAGTGCAGAGGCCTTGTTTCTGTGGTCAACTTAAAGAAGCTGACATGATATTCAGTAAAAGCACAGTATGGGAAGTTTACCTCAGAGGTATGGGTTTCTGAACTACTGCATACCCATGTGTGGGGTTTGCTTACATGAGAGCAGGTTCAAATCAGAATGAGCGAAACAAGAGACAAGTCCATTTAATTTTGAATTTCACTGTGCTCTAGATAATGTGTAGGGGCTCATCTGTTTTCCCCCACAGTGCTCAGGACAAACTGTAACTGCCTGTAAGTGTTTCTAGTTATAGAAAGCAAAAATCTTGCAAAATCCCATCTTAGCTATTTACAAGTAAGATTCTGGATGGATACACCTGTCATTTAATCAGACATTTAGCTGTGTTTAGAATAACATCTGTGTTTTGAAGCAGAGGTAAAAAAAAAAAACTATATTAATGTCCTTTATATATACATGTTGTTAAATGTGTATATTAGCTGCCACTGAAACGAGTACTTGAATGTGGATGTGACAAATCTGTCTTTGGTAAATAATTCAGGTCATCTAAGCTGATCTCAACTAAGATTGGACTTATGTCCAGGTACTGAACTTCCCTTTCCTGTGTTTTCAGATCACTGTAATTTAATATTCCAGGATGCACATGATTTACCAAGCAAGAAAACCTATTTGTTATTGAGACCAATAATTTTAAGATACCACTGAAGGATACAGGTTATTCTTTTCTGAAAAACAGAATTAATGCAGTTCTTCATTTCTGAACTGAAGAGTTCCTTATTTTCTCTCTTACATAACCACCCACATTTAAAAGGATGGAAAAATAGGAAAGTGGAAGAATAAAACTTTGTGCTTACTGTTTTGGAGACGGTATCCTTGCCAGATGACTCAGAATTCAAGGTACTGCTCACTTGGCATTGCAAACTGAAAGTCAAGTACTAACTTCAATAATGTGAAAGAGGAGACAAGACTGAATTGAAATGCATTGCCTGGAAAGTGAGGTGGACCTGTTTAGTTGTACCCTGACAACCAATACCATCACTATTACATGCTCTTTCTACGCATTCCTCCAAGAGATGCATCCTGTAACACAGATATGGAGCATGAAAGGAAAAGCATGCCTAAAAATTGTAATAATGAGAAGAGGGAGGAGAAATTTCGAATGGTTAGTCTATTGGCTTTCTTCCATAGCCTGCAGTTAAATATTTAATGCTCTAGCTAAGTTACCTGTGAAGTTAGAGTTCTGACTGGACAGTATGATGATGCCCTGAGAGAAAACAGATTTTGGCATTATTTCACATGAAATCCTTGGAATTAACTGGGGAAACATGGTCCTTAGGAAACTGAGTTGAGAGAAAAATAGATTATCTCAAGATAAGCTGATATCTGGATGTTGTTCTCAATGTTTCAGCTTAAAAACAAGAGCAAGTTGGATTCCTCATAGGTTGTTTTTGGGGGTTTTTAATTTTTTTAAACAACGAATGAAGGAATCTGATCTCTGGCCTTTGGATATACAGTAAAAATCTGAGTTCACTGGGTGTTTTTGGTCAGTAAGCTTAAACTGAAACTATAGCGGTAGGGATGGATACTAGGAAGAAAATCTAAAATAAAAGATGATAAAATACTGTCTTAGCTGTGGAGATGTTTAAGAATAGGAAAAACATCAGGAATGACAAGAACTGAGCACATGCTATGTAACTTTCTGAAGTGCTTTTCAAATTTCTTGTTGTATAGTGCAGTAAATTACACATGAAGGATACATTTGAAAAGCTATGTACAAGTAGTACATTTATGGAAAGTTAACTTCTAGTTAGCTGAACCAAAAGTGAAGGCTTCTTCTCTGAAGAGTTTGGAGAATACTGAATTGATAATGATGTACTGAGTAATTCTTTTCTACTGCACCATCAAATTAACATGACTGCATCTGTCAGCCATATGCCATTCCAGTCTTTCCTGTCCCAATTTCATTAATAGCACTGGGCCGGACTGGGCAGAATTCCTGTTTGTGTAGGCAGGTGACCTGTCTCATTAATGTCGTCTTGCTTTCTGTTTTAGTGAGTTTAAACTCAATAGTATGACACTTCAAAATCATGTATTTCAAGAGTTCCTGGGTGGCAGAAATAAAAATGCACTGTTTATTTTCAGTCTCCTGCCTCTGGCACCTTACGGAGACCATGTTTATGCTGTGTTCCCCCTGTCTTATTTGTTCTGAACCATGTCCCACACAGCAGGGCTGCAAATCCTAGGAGAAGCTGCTGTAATACAGACAATGATCTCAGCTGACATGAATATGAACTCTGTGTTTTGTCTGAAAATAATTATTCTAGTGAATTGATCCTCTAGTGAAGTGATGGCTTGACCTTCCTGTGCTGAATTATTCCCTTAGAAAACTGTGGGACACATGCAGGAAGCTGTTTTTTGTAAGGCTGGATGATGGTTCAGAGATATGTGAGGTGATTGTTCTCTGGCAGAAAGAAAATCTCAGTGACACAGATATGGTAATAAAGACCCTTGCTGCTTTAATGAAAAGGCACCTAAATGCTGCTGTGTTAAGAAAGCTTTCAGAAGACAAAACCAAGGCTATCTAATACAGACAGCTGAACAGTCTGCATACAAGTGCAGTTTTGGTATGTGGATGGGGGCTGTTGTGTCTGAAATAGTAAATAATTGTCATGTGTTACTTTATCACCTGTAGCAGAAATGCTAAGTCAGGGCTTGAAACAGTGATTGAGCACCAGATGGGGAGGCAGGGCCAGCTCAGGGGAGCTCAGGTGCATGCAATGACCCTGAGTGACTGGAAGGGGTGGAGCCAGGATCCATCCCTTCCCAGACCTCATTTAAGGGCTGGCAGTGGCAAGAGTATCTTGTAGGAGATCCCTGCATACTTGAGGTCTTCCAAAGCTGAGCAGATTCCTTGCTTTGTTACTGTGTCTATAGCTGCCACATTTGAATGTATCCTCACCTGCTGCAGCCTAGGACTTCAGCTACTATACTGTCATTGCTATGCTTTCCATTGCATTGCAGTCACCCTTCTAAGAAAGTGTCAGTTCTTAGACTTTCTCCAGATGTTTTACAAATTATGTTCTTTGCCTATGAATATGAGCTAGAGGTCTTCAGGTTCCTCTTCCTAATAATACTTTATTCAGCTGGGCAACACAACCATTACCCTACGAGTGTTCCATAGCTGTGAGCTACAGCTCAAGCAAGGAATAGCATTCTGGTTTTTAAACACTTGGTGAGTACTGGGAAGAGGTAACAGGAGTAGAAATTTTGAGATCTACAGGAAACAAAGTGATGTGCTGTTGCAGAAATTATACAATACAGAGATTTTGTGTTTACAGTAGTACTCAGAGGGTTCAAGTCATGCTGTATTGAAGCACCCATTCCACAAGTGGAAGAGAAGAGTCTGGATCTAGCTGAACCTCTTACTGTGGAGAGTGAAAACCCAATGGCTTTGTCTCCATCCTTATTTTTAAATTCTATTTACTGAAGGGGCTGCTTTTTCCAAAACTATGGTTTTCTTATTTTAACGTTCAGCGTAGTTGTGTTTTTTCAGTCTTTTCACATTAACTTTACTGTAAAGTTAATATGGTAGAATGACTTGCATGCCAGAATCTCTCAACATATTTTATTAAAAAAATATATATGTATATTCCACTCAAAAGAAAATGAATGTTCAATCATTTCAAAACCAATCCAGCTGATATGGAGGTGAGCTATTTTTCTTCAGGGTTATTGATAGAAGAGACCTAGTCTTTACATGTACTCAAAACTAATTTTATTCTTCTATGCTTTCTTAACCTTCACTACCACTTCAGCAAACCACTCTGCATCAAGACTCAGGTTAAGAGACAAGTACAATCCTTTCCCACAGCAGACTGGATAGGACAGGATAGAATAGTTCATTTGAAAGGGATGTTCAGAAATTGCCTACGCCAACTACCTGAGTTCTTCATGGCTAACCAAAAGCTGAAGAGCACTAATGAGGGCATTGTTCAAATGCCTCTTGAACACTGATGGGCATGGAACATCTGCCCCCTAGCTAAGAAGCCTGTTCCAGTGTTTGGCTAACCTTGTGTAAATAATTTTCCTAGTGTCCAGACTGAACTTTCTCCTAGCTCAATCTGTTTATGTGCAGGCTAATTCTTGGAGCATGTTTAAGGATGCTTGAGCATCCTTAAACTCTGAATGGAAATGATGTGTTTTCTGTATAGATCTCTACTTTATTCTTATTTAATACTTTATTCATTGCTTTCTAGGGTTTTTTCACTAGGGAGAAAATGCTGTCTACCAACTTTGGTTTGTTAAAAATGTATGTTTGTTTTAATAAGAATGCCTTCCCCCATCCACAGCTGTTCTGACTTCAGAAGACCAATTCATTTCATGCATGGGTCTTCAAGAGGGTTTGCAGGAAAGCAGACAGGGATACTAGACAGATGTTTTATATCAGTAGATCACATGATACCCATCTACAGCAGAAGGAAGTGCACTTCAGATTGTTGCTCATCTCTTGTTTCTGTGCTGCAACCATTGATAAACCATTCACCACCATGGAGCTATCTTCTGGGGTAGGTAGCAGCTTCTAGTCTTCCTCTGGCCTTGCAAGCTTTGGATGCACAGCATATGTATTACTGAGCACATAGTCTCAGGAAAGTCTGTTACCATTTGGGGAACAACTGAAAAAGGGGAACTAGAAATTCCTTCAGTATAAAGGATGAAGTATGCTGCATACTGTTGATAAGTAACTGCTATGCACACAAGAACTCAGGTTCTGCTATGCACACTATCTCAAATGCAGTGGACAACAGGAGGTGGAAAATGTTCATGAGATGGATGTTGATTCTAGAAATATGCGTTCATAACACCTTATGTCTGCAAATACTGGAATATTTCCACTTTTCTACCCTTTTATGCGTAATACCAGGGGGGTAAAATTGGTCTTGTCTCACATACCCGTAGCTCTTCCTACACTATAATGATTGCGGACAGTGTGGCAATGGAGATAAGAGGGCAATTTCAGGGCCTGAAACAATGCAATCTGAGAGTGTTCTGGTTTCTTCAGATAATTTTCAGGGAAGGAACAGAAGGTTTAAGCAACAGGGCTTATCACAATATTTAAAGAGATGTTCTTTGCTTTCCACTTTTGCATCTCTCCTGACTTTTCTTATGCAGGAAAGTTCTGTTTTCCCTTGACTTCATAATAGGATGTCCATGTGCAGATTGGCCTGCCAATGATCACTGGAACCTCTTTGATTCAGAAGCATGTTTGAGTTCTTGGTATATTGCAATTTGGTTAGACCATGCTAACAAACATAAATGCATCATTTCTGTGCACCAGAAAATTCTGAGAATTATTTAATTAATGAGACACAGCACCAGTATTTCCTTTCTGAGAAACTTTTCTGGCTGTTCCTGGAGAGCTGCAGTGAGATGACAGAATCTATGCTGATATTTAGCTACTGAAATCTGATAGCTTACTGCCGAGAGAAAAGCACACTGAAGCAATTATCTTTTGATTTCACAAGATCCTTCTTTTCAAGTCTCTTCATCTGTTACATGGATGCTTTTGTAGAATCAGTATTCAGATATGTGGTATCTACTTCCTGAAAATCTGTCAGCTGTGTTAAAAGAGTCCATATTCTGAAATCCAGATAAGCTGTTCTTGAGCTATACTTTGTAAATATCTGTCTAGAAGTGGAGTGCTCCTCAACATAGTATAAGAGTAGAAGATAGGCTGCAGACAGGATCAGAATAAAGAGACATCTGGTTTACTGTCTTAGCTCTTCTGGTGACTACAAGTAGATGCATGTGGAAAAATGAATACAGCACAGTCACAGGTAGCCCTGGTATTCTCCCATTTTACAGCTTTTACTGAATTGGGGAATGTTGTATAATAAACCTTTATCCTCTTTTTTTTTTTTTCTTGATCTGATTTCAAAACTTTAATGCTTTTCTTTTTTATTTTTTTTACTGGCAAAGAGAGCATACAAGCATCCTTTTTCAACTTGTTTGCGAGTCCCTGGATTCTGTAGACCTCTACCATATTGCATTTTGGTCATCTTTTTCTGTGAGAATTTGCTCTTTGCTCTTTCCTTCTCACTTCTGAATCTGCTCCAGACTCTCCCAAGAGTGTTGGGGGAACTTCACTACACATAACATCAATGACACAAATGAACCATGGCATAATGATAGTTTCATTTTGTTCTGTTACCCAACAGTGTCTAAACTTAAAGTTTTTAAGTATTACAAATTATTGTGCTTTTGTTTTCACTGAGCTTTTTTATTTCATTTATATAGTTCTATCTGATATTCCTACTTCTGTGAGAGTCCCAGGATACTGCTTCTGAGTGGTACTGGTCTACTCAATGGTAAGGTGTGTCACTTATAAGTGAAGCTCAGGTGGCGTTTATTCTTTTGTGTATTCTTAATCACCTGCAGTGGATTTCTCATGCTTCTTTATTATCCAGACACTCAGCTCTCAGATTCTGCTGTATTTTCTGTTGACCCTTTACAAAAATTCCTCCCTGCACTATTCAGCCCCACTCATGAGAGTGAGAACTAGCGCGGGCCTGGGTCTGAACAGTGACCTACAAGAAATGACCACTGACCTTGAGCTCCTATTTTCTGCTTCATTCAACTGATAAATTATAATTGTTCATAACTTCATCTTTTGTTATCATTGCTTTCTTTTTAAACCCTTTAATAAGAATGCCATTGGCAAAATCAAGTATCACTCTTATCCATAGCAATCCCCACTTTCTTCAAATGCAAGTTTGCAAGGGCCTGATTTGTCTCAAAACCACACTAACTCCAAATTGATCATTCAGATGATTAACTCATTTTTTTAATTAAAATACAGCCATCTTGCCTATTACAAACACCACACCAAGAGGCCTCAGCTCCGTTGAAACTTATTTAAAAATTGATGTCACATTTGTCATATTTTTTAGGTACAAATACAATGAGAGGCTGCATACTGTCCTTGATAATTCAGTCATTTCATCCTCGAGTTCCTTTGAGCTCCTGGGTGAACACCATCTGGTCTTGGCAATTTCATTAAGTTTTTTTTGTTTTCCCCAGCTTGTTCCATAACCTATTCTACACTCACTTCAGTGTCAGGTGTATATTTGTATTTCAACTGACTCTGTAATCTTGAAGAGGCTTCCTGCTCCTGGTGTACTTCCATGTAAATTTATTACTGTTACATTCTAACAATTGTGACTCAAATTATTTTCATTTTCACTCTGTATTTAGACCTTGATCTGTAGGAGTTGATGATTCTTTCTACTCACCTCATTGGACTCAGCTCCAGATTTGAGGGCTGCCTTTGTTAGCTTGCTATGTAGCAATACTGAACTGCCTTTGCTCTTAAAGACTTTCTCAGGAGATGGTGTATGTTGACCCCGTGACTTCAATACGGAGGCTTCACATATCTCTGAATATGTGGTTGTAATTCTTGTAGCCCATCTTCTTTAATACTCTCTGTAAAATAAGAAGTTAATTATCTTGCAGTTAATTGCTGTGAGAAATAATTTTTCAGTTCTGAGTAACTGAATGAGGGTTTGTTGACATTTTACTTTGAAACTTGTTCTGGATATAAGCAATAATTATATATTCAGGTCCTTTGTACATTCCTCCTGAATAATGAAGTGTGTATATGAGTAGACGTG